TTCATAGCAACGCGTTGATTGGCGTTGACCTTCATAGCAACACGTTGATTGGCATTGACCTTTATCGCAGTGTGTTGACCGGTGTTGACCCAAGGCTATGCGTTGACTGACGTAAACATAGTTTATACTCATACGTTAGCTGAAGTCTACATAGTTTAGGCTCTTAAGGCGTTAGAGCGGGTAGGACTAGTTTATACTCGTATACTCCTGAGAGTTTCGAGAATTAGTTTAATCTCGTATATCCGTCAGAGGTTCAAGGAGATGCAGTTTATACTCGTATACTCTTCGGAGTGTCAGGAAGAGCGAGCTGAGAATGCTTCGGACGCTCGCCAGGTTAAGCTCTTTGTGTGAGATTTGATCGTAGGTTCAGCCGTTGGTGCTGATGTAGCTACTATCTCTGAAGTTGCCAAACATCTGAAGTTATTATCCTCAAAGCTTCGGCTGGAGTTGAGGTTAGCTCAGCTATTCAAGTCACGAGACCAACTGGTGAAGATGATGCATCAGTGACTTTTGTCCCTTATTATGGTTACCCATTTTGTTTAGAATAGATAAGCATAATACTCATAGGATTTTTGAAAAACCCTCAGCCATCAACGGGTTTGATATGTCTTTACCGATTACCATTTGAATTGGGCTAGCATGCAGATTGTTTAAGTCCGTTCCGTATGTAATATTGTGCTAAGAGAATAAACTCTCATAGACTTGGTGCTATGATTTTGGATACATAGACTTAATCATGCTTCATGGGATGCTCATAAATTTTTTGGCAAACCCTCAGCCATCAACGAGTTTGATGTGCCTTTACCGATTACCGTTTGAATCGGGCTAGCATATAAATTTTTTTAAAAAAAAAACCCGTTTCACATGTAACGTTGTGCTAAGAGAATAAACTCTCTTAGACTTGGTGCTATAATTTTGAATACATAGACTTGATCATTTTTGCGGGAACGGACCACCCGACAATGTGTGTTAGACATAGGTTTATCTCCAATTAGGGGTCGAGATAACATTCTCCATGCGTGTGAAGCATAGATTCTGGTGTTATTAATAACAACTTGCCACGATGTCGAATACGTGGGCTTTTGTCCTTTTCGTGGTAAAAGATTAACCAGCAACGCGTGTTAGGCGCATGCTTATCTCTAATTAGGGATCGTGATAAAATCTTCATATATGTGAAGAATGAATTCTGGCGTTATTAATAACAACCTGCTACGATGTCGAATATGTGAGCTTTTATCATTTTCGCGGTAAAAGACTAACCGACAACGCGTGTTAGGCGTAAGCTTATTTCTAATTAGGGATCGAGATAAAATATCCCATACGTGTGGAGTATGGGTTCTGGCGTTATTAATAACAACATGCCATGATATCGAATATGCGGGCTTTTATCATTTTCGCGGTAAAAGACTAACCGATAATGCGTGTTAGGCGTAGGCTTATCTCTAATTAGGGATCGGGATAAAATCCCCCATACGTGTGAAGTATGGATTCTGATATTATTAATAACAACCTGCCATGATATCGAATATGTGGGCTTTACCATTTTACCGGAATGCACTACCTAGCAGCATGTGTTAGATACAGACTTATCTCTATTTAGGGATCGAGATAACATCCCCCATGTATAAAAGGCATGGATTTCGGTGCTACGATGTTGAATATGTAGACTTGGTCATATTCGTGGGAACGGACCACTCGGCGACATGCGTTAGATGCTGACTTATTTCTAATTAGGGATCAAGATAACGTCCCCAAGGCATGGATCGTGGTATCTTTTTCGTGGTGAAAGACTAACCGGCAACGCGTGTTAGACGTAGACTTATCTCTGTTTAGAAGTTGAGATAAAGTTCCCCATGTAGGAGAGGTATGGATTTATGATGTTGAGAGACTGTGTCTTCTCTTGGGGCAAAGACGAACCCAATACTAGAGAGGAAGAATTTTATATTCTATCTCCATGCCTTCTTTTGGGGTAAAGACAAACCCGATGCGAGAGAGGAAAAATTTTATATTCTTTCTCCTACAGTTTGAGAGGAAGAATTTTATATTCTATCTCAGATGCAAAAGAAACTGAAAGTGGGATCTTCACTTCGAGAATCTTGGAAGGTGAAACTAAGAGTGTGATCTCCACTCCGAGAATCGAAGAGATCTGAGTAACCCTAACTTTTATAGGATTGGTCACCTAATCTAAAGATGAATTTCTCATTTATCGAGATTAAAATCTAATTTTGGTCCTAATTGTAAAAGGTTTGACCAAGTGAGAGCTTGAGACGACCCTAACTTTTATAGGTTTGATCGTTCAACTTGGTTGGAGGCCTTTTATCCATCGAAAGGGAATTTCAGTTTTTGAAAGTGGACCTCTCGTTCATTAAAGGAATCGAGAGGGGACTTTGACTTTGGTCCTAACTATAGGAATGTTTGACCAAGAAACAGTGGGAGTGAAGATACAAATAACAGTGGGAATGTTGACTTGTACAAATCACACAGTGGGGTTTTCGGTGTCAAGTGACAATGACTTAACACGAAGAGGGGGGTGTCGTGTCAGACTTTAACAGTAGGAGTGTTAAAGGCTTGGACACAGTGGGAGTTTGGGTGGATTCAAACACGAAGAATTTTGGTGGACCCATCGTCATTTGATTTGATCGGTGAGGGATTTTATGGTTGAGGATCTTGAGTTATTAAGCACTCCACAATTTAACTGTGGGGGTTTCGTGAGCAAAGATTGACTAGATTAAGTCATTGAATCTTATCTCAACGAAAGAATGCTCTGAAAGCCACAACGGGAGGGTTTTTATTATTTTAGAAATGATTAAATAGCCACAGTGGGAGGTTCTTAATCATTTTTATCATGATTAAGAATGAATTATTCTGATAATCGGTTTTCACCTTAAATGGTCAGCTGATCTCGGGTTATCCATAAGAATATTACAAGTAATATTCTCTAGGAACTTCTCGTTAAAAATAAGGGAAACAATTTATCCTCTTATACTCATTGGAGGTGGGGGAAATAGTTTATACTTGTATACCAGTTGGAGTAATGTTGTCGTCCTCATTTGGCTTGTTTTACCATTATGATGTCGGTGTCAACCAAGGCTTAGATCATGTCTTTGAGAGTGAAGCAAGTCTTGGTAGGATGATGGATCCTCCTGTGATATGCATAGTACTTTGGATCCGAAGTATTATTAGCTTCCTCCTGATTTATAACCGGTGGCAACGTGATTTTGTCATTGGCGATGAGGTATTTCAAGATGGCTGGAACTTTATCATTTTTGAAAAAATACTCCTTCTAGAACCTTAGATTAGCAGTCCTTCGTTGCTTCTGAGGTTGCTGTTATAACGTCTGATTAGCGTTAACAGCCGCTGCAGGTGCCTTTCCCTTACCACGGGAAGAAAATTTTAAGTTTGGGGGGAGGGGGGGGTTAGTCGTTGGTTAGCCTCTTTCAAGTTTTTTTTTTCTTTTGAGAAAGCGTTCAGCCTGTTTCCCGCGCAATTTTAATTCTTTCCATGTTGTAGATGACATGACCCCCAGGGCTTCCAGCACATCAATGGAGAGATTATTGTAGCATGTCTACAAGATGAATTCCTCTGTGACAGGATCCCTACAATTCATTATCTTATTGCGGAAGTGTTTAACAAAGCTATCAACTGACTCCCTGTCCTTTTGTTTCTCGTCCAAATGGGCTCCAATCGACACTTCGGTGTCATTGTCGAAGAAGTTATTGCGGAACGAGTTTTTCATGTCGTTCCAGCTATTAATACTTCCTGACTTGAGATAGCGATACCAATCGGAGGTGGCCTCACGAAGGGTGCCAACGAATAACCGGACTATCAAAGGTTCATTGTCGGAGATTACACCCAGGTGGGGCTTGAAGTAAATTAGGTGTTGAGTGGGTGAGCCTCTCCCATCGAATGGCGTGAAGTTAATTAGGGTGAACTTCACCGGTATGAGATTGAATCCCACTCTCTTGGATAACAGCACAAAATGCTCATTTTCTTGAGCGGACATTAAGGCATTAACCTTATTTTCTAGCTCTTTCATCATCTCGTCATTGCCTGTATCTTTCTTCGGGTAATTTTGAGGAGGAATGGTGGGACCACCCCCAGCGTTGTCATTAGTGATGGGGCTACCCCTAGTATTGGTATTATTGTTAGGGCCACCCCCAGTGTTGGTATTATTGTTGGGGATACCCCAGCATCTATTTCATTAGGAGGAGCATTATTATTGATAGTCTCATCCACTTCTCAGTCGCTATCTACCTGATTAGTAGTATGCGACGACTAGATTCACCATGCTGATTTGATAACTCTTGGAGTTGCTGGGCATGTAAATCCTTAACCCGTTGTATGACCATATCCATCTCAATTTTGAAATCCTCCTTTTGTTTAGCTAAGTCTCCTTGAAGGAGCTGAGCCATCTGCTCAGTAGTGATCATGAATATTTCTCGAGATCGCCTCGTAGTAGACACGGTGTTATCAGAGCCAATTGCTAAGGATGTATCTGATGTCTCATCATCTGAAGATCACCCTCTACTCGGTCTAGGTCTGATAGTCCCAGACCGTAGCCAAGTGAGGTGCTGAGATGCTCTAGGGAAAGGATCGGGACTAGAACACTGAGTTAACTTCCCCTTATTGGTCATGTTGATAGTAACCTCTGAGAATCTGTCAGCTTGACTGGTTGATCCTATTTTGCAGAAGCGCCTTGATTTGAGTTTGGACGCTTCTGTGGATATCCTTTTGAATACAGAGACCCTCCGTGGAACGATCTTAGAGTAGCTACATTCTGATAGTATTGTCCTGATTAATCTCTAACAAGGATAGTGAGAGTCCGTTTCTGGGGTATTTCTTTTTCGAGACTTACTCCCAGCCTGATAGTACAACTCGTCGGCGTTGTGGACAGAGCAACCTATCGGTTGTTCATTTGTTCTTTTAGATATAATGCTGTCATCTGTCGGACGCGTCTTCTTTTGATTAGGTGACGCCTTGTTGGAATTCACAGGAGTCACTCATTCGGAATTCACAGGAGGTTGCTTATGACCCCCAGTCTGGATGGTAGCTCGAGAATCATTCAGCGGACCCAAGAGTTCCTTAACAGTAGCTTTGCCCCGATCTTCAGGTAGAGGACCAAGGCGATCCTTTAGCGGAATTCTAAACTTGGAGAGATCCACATTGCTGTAGGGCTTTACCGGAGGTGCGGGAGCAGAAGGAGCGAGATCTAAAATTGACAAAGGCTGGGGAGCAGCATTGGAGCTAGAATTGAGTGAGAGACACAACTGGTGTCTCTTATTAGGTAGAGGTGCCTTAACAGTCTTCAGTGCAGTTTTAGGCGTTATCTTGGGCTTTGACACCCAAACCCGCTTAGATCTTGGTGATTCTTTGACCACCTCTTCTTTTTATAGTTCTTGTTCCTTTTATACAAGGATCCGGGCATACGCAAGAAGTGCGCGGTGCTTTTGAATGCGCTCCTCAAGAGTAGAACAAGTTTATTTAACACGAACCCATTTGTTAGTTAGCGGTTGGGAGGAGGACCCCGACGCTTGCTGCGGCGACGGCTTAGCCACTTGGAGCCTTCAACTCTAGATTTGCTTGGTAGCGCAGTCCGTCCACCTGCTCTAGAGCTTTGGCTATGACGGGAAAGACGTTGGCGGCATCTCTGATGATCCCTCTTCATCAGCACTAGTGCGCCTTCAATAGGCAACTCCTTGACTTTTGGAGAGTTGTCACGAACGTCAAATCTGGCTTTCTTGGACACATGGGAGGAGTCTTCAATAGTAATTGGGTGAAGATCATTACCTTGGGTACTTAGATCTAAAGACCAACGGACCTTCTTGAGGGAAATAGTCTTCCTACGCTTGCAAGGAGAGAAAGATCTGGAGGAGTAATAGGAAATGTACTCCTTAAACTTTTACTGGTTGAACTCATATTCAACCTCTTCATCCACGGGGATCTTGATCAGTGGCTGCGGGACGACAGTCTCGACAATAAGGCTGTTGACTCCCACTATGGTCGCCAACGTGTTCGTGTCGAAAGTTAATTTTTTCATTGCGGGACTCATTATAATTTTAGTCGTTATAATAAGTTTAAAAAAGATAGACTTTTTATAAGTCTCCTTACATAATAAAAATAAAAAAGATTACAATTTTCCTGAGAGAGATCATTTATCGGTCTTCTGTTTACACGGGATCTTTGCTGCTGCCAGGGTTTATCCATGGACTACCAACTGATCAGATCCAAATAAAGATTTTATTGCCTTACAAAGGAGGTAATAAATTGAAGTGACTATCTCGGGAATAACAAAATAATCACTCTTCTCGAGAATCACAGCATGGTACGATCTCAAGGACAATGGATGAATGAGATGCAGATCTCTCAAACTCTTCTCCTCTTTGTGCTGAAGAACTCACCAAGATCTCTTCCTCCTCTCTGAAATTCGTGCTCCTCACTCTTCAATTCGACAGGGCTTCGCCGAGACTCAAGAATTCCGGATCTTTGTAAATGAAGGCCCTAGAGCCATATTTATAAGCTTCAAAAGCTCGGTTTTTTAATAAGAATGACCGATTTGATCTCATCCTCAGTTGTGACTGCTTAACCACATATTCCAAAATACCCGAGAATCGGAACATGAACAATCCCGCGACGTATTAGATCAAGGAGAATAAATAAAAATAAACATTTCTCCTCAACCTAATACGCTAAACGTCAAGAAATAAATACAATGCGAAGTCACAAATCCCTGATCACAATTAGCAAGAATATAATAGACAAACTCAGAATAAAATAATCCATATCACAAGTGAATATCATCCAAGACATAATATTCGGATCAAACATGCCCTTATACAAAACTATCCAACTGAATACTGGAGTGATATAAAAATACACTGATCAAAAGGAAATAAAAGTGCTACAAAAATAAACTGAAAGGAATAACTAAGATTCGGTTTCTTCTTATGTGCTGTCTACAAGGCACTCCTGCTAAGAATCCTCTGGCTCCTGGCGATCTCCCAGCTGGACCTGTTCTTCCTCTAATTCTGATGTACACCAGAGAAAATAGGTGTACATTAGCGTGCATAGCACATGACAAGACCCCACAATAGAAATAGAACGAACAAAAACCAAAGCAAAAAACGATACGATAACAGAAATGACAAAAGGATGTGCAACTGAAAATCCAACAAAATCAACATGCAAATTCACTTCTAAAACCTGATAAACATAAAGCTAACGATATACGATAACCGGGTCAAATACTAACCATCTTAAAAACTCACTGGTCCACATCTCACATAGAGTCAACGCTCATATTATCAAAAACTGTTCATAAATCTCTTACGTGCATCCAATATTGTTACACGAATCGGTCAGAGGACTACATGCAATCTGATCTCAGCCTGGTCCGAACTCAGGCAAAGCTCAAGTGACGAAACAGGTCACGAACTAAGGTGACTACACGAATTCACTTTAGCCCAACAAACCAACCCCAATGACTACACAAATTTACTGGCGCGAGCCTAGAAGATATATCAACAGCTATATCGGATCACATGAACAAAGACTTTCCCATCCCAACTCTTCTCGTTTTTCTAAATCAACAATCAAAGTCCACAATATCTCTAGTTCACCATCTAAATTCAGTCAACATACCTACACATGTCTCTAAGTCTGTTCATGATGCACAAGGCCACTAAGTCATGAACTACTAGAGTTCTCAACACAACCTGAAACAATAAAAGCAGACATGTCAAATACAGTAAAATATTTACTATATATATATTCCTCAACCTAATACGCTAAACGTCAAGAAATAAATACAATGCGAAGTCACAAATCCCTGATCACAATTAGCAAGAATATAATAGACAAACTCAGAATAAAATAATCCATATCACAAGTGAATATCATCCAAGACATAATATTCGGATCAAACATGCCCTTATACAAAACTATCCAACTGAATACTGGAGTGATATAAAAATACACTGATCAAAAGGAAATAAAAGTGCTACAAAAATAAACTGAAAGGAATAACTAAGATTCGGTTTCTTCTTATGTGCTGTCTACAAGGCACTCCTGCTAAGAATCCTCTGGCTCCTGGCGATCTCCCAGCTGGACCTGTTCTTCCTCTAATTCTGATGTACACCAGAGAAAATAGGTGTACATTAGCGTGCATAGCACATGACAAGACCCCACAATAGAAATAGAACGAACAAAAACCAAAGCAAAAAACGATACGATAACAGAAATGACAAAAGGATGTGCAACTGAAAATCCAACAAAATCAACATGCAAATTCACTTCTAAAACCTGATAAACATAAAGCTAACGATATACGATAACCGGGTCAAATACTAACCATCTTAAAAACTCACTGGTCCACATCTCACATAGAGTCAACGCTCATATTATCAAAAACTGTTCATAAATCTCTTACGTGCATCCAATATTGTTACACGAATCGGTCAGAGGACTACATGCAATCTGATCTCAGCCTGGTCCGAACTCAGGCAAAGCTCAAGTGACGAAACAGGTCACGAACTAAGGTGACTACACGAATTCACTTTAGCCCAACAAACCAACCCCAATGACTACACAAATTTACTGGCGCGAGCCTAGAAGATATATCAACAGCTATATCGGATCACATGAACAAAGACTTTCCCATCCCAACTCTTCTCGTTTTTCTAAATCAACAATCAAAGTCCACAATATCTCTAGTTCACCATCTAAATTCAGTCAACATACCTACACATGTCTCTAAGTCTGTTCATGATGCACAAGGCCACTAAGTCATGAACTACTAGAGTTCTCAACACAACCTGAAACAATAAAAGCAGACATGTCAAATACAGTAAATATATATATATATATATATATATATATATATATACAGTAAAATATTCACAAAACATGAAATGTAATCATCAATCAGTAAAAACATGCATATAGTCCGGTTTCATCGATATCATCAGTAAAAACATGCATATAGTCCGGTTTCATTAATATCTTGTTATCCAACCCTCTAAACTACTCATTCAACTTATCAGCAGCTAAATAATATACAATATGACTACGGTTAAAAATAAAATTGAAAAACCGTGATCATTTTGCACATAAAATATCACAGTCTACAACTACTAACACAAAATCATAATTTAATTTAAATCCAAAATAAATAATTCTTTTTTCAAAATAATTTTTTTTAAATAATCATAATTATCAAAAATATAATTCTTTTGTCGAAAATAATTTAATAACTCAAAATGACCCCTATTTCGAAATAAATGATTTTAAATTATCTATTCTAATAATTATTTAAAACCAACCCTTTTTCTAAATAAATTCTTTTCTTATCATAATAATTCTAAAAACATCTCAACATAACCACTTTTACACAAAATAAATTTCCTTTAAATTACTTATCATAACGTCATTGTTAAATATTAACCATCAACAAGCTACGCAGATAATAACAATTCATAATCTAATCTATGCAACATATTAATGACAGATATAAATATGAAATGACGAGTCAAGAGGAGCGGGATCTTGCCTGCGAGACCAAGAGGTCCGATGACGTGATGGCAGCGCCACTACGGACATGACACGTTGGATCTAAAAGGGATGCGTCTATGGTTTGGTCGGGGGTTGTAGTAACGATTGATGACGGCGGTCGAGAATCTGCGGCGGGCTATTGGCTTGGGCATCGGGCTGAAGAGGACAGTAGGGGAGGGCTGTCGGAGTTCAAGCTTGGCGTGTGGCGAAGCTTGGGACGACAGCGGTGTGACGACGAGGAGAGGTGGGTGGCACGACGAGCGGCGGGCGCAAAGGGCGCTGGACAGCCAAAGAGATGGAGAGCGCGGGTTTGCGGTTCGGAGCAGGCAATGCCCTGTCGCTCGGCGAGCATAGGCCAGCCCCGACGAGAGGCGGACACGGGGTGGCAAGGAGTTGCTCGGATCTGGGGAGAAGGGGTGGGGTGTGGTTGAGTTTGGGTCTAGAGGTCGGCGTTTGGGTGGCTCTGTGGGGGAGAAATTGAGGGGAGGAGTGGCAGTGAGAGAGAGGACGAACAGGGGGTGATGGAGGCGAGATGGGGGTGGTGGTGATGAAGGACTTTAAATCATAGAAATTCTTAAAAAATCAGGAAAAATACAAATACTCTTTTAAAAATAGTAATTAAATATTTTAAAATACCAAAAAATTATTTTAACTAGTATTAAAATTTCACGGTCATTACAAGCTAGAAACAGACAGTAAATCTAATTTTTAAATATCTTTTAAAAATAGTAAATAAATTCTAAAAAATATAAAACTTTGGGAAATAATTGTAAACATTATAATAAACATGTTACAAAAAGAATTTTTGGAATTGAACTTCCCAAAAGTAAAAACTCATCATTTTACAAAATAGTCCAAAAACATAAAAACTAAACATACATGTTTTTGATATCTTGACTTAAACAATATTTTGAAACTTTGTAAAATGATTTTATAGACTTAATAAAATATATAAACTATAATTGTTAAGTCTATAAACTAAAAACACAATATGTTTCAAAATACAATAGAATATGAAACATGTGAATATGTATATGAATGTATATTTGTTTCATATCTATATAACTAAACTAAAATAACTTATCCACATGAAAACAAACATATATGTAGATAAACATAAATTTATTTATTTGTAAAAACTTTGTTTGTGGATAAACTCATAAAATGTGTGTGTGTATATGATATTGAGCTTTAAAGTATCTACACAAGTATAAAACCTAAACTAATTATACCAAAGCAATTGGTCTTTAATAAGCTCTTCTTGGTAAACTTTGCGGATGAAGCTTGATCTTGAATTGACTTGACATGCAAATGGCTTCATACCGATATTTCCTTCCATCCTCCAATGGATATGATCGTGAAAGCTCTAGTCCATCCAATCTCCAACTCATAGTTTGCCTAGAATAAATATAAAAACACAAACACTAGATAAATAATATTAGTTATAAACTATTTGTTAAAACATCATCAAAATGAAAAGGCTGACAATCTCTTTTTTTTTTATGATGACAAACAGTTTACAAAAAGAGATATGCATGATACAAAATAAATATATAAATTACGATTATCATGCAAAGAAATAAGGTAAGATATACTCATAATATTTCTTCCTCTTTGACAACATCAAAATAGGGAAAACAATAAAGGATAAGAGAGCGTAAGCCCCCACTACAAATTTGCATAAGTGAGTATAAAAACAATAAAAGAATAGGGAATGCTCCCCCTATCAAAATGCCTTATGGAATATATGAAATGAATACTAAGGCAAACTATTTGTGAGCAAACATAGATGAAAAACATGTTAATCAAAACTTACATACAACAAGACCATGAGAAAAACATATAGATATATCAATATAAAAAAGTGTGTCTCAATACACAAACATAAAACAATGTATAAATAGATTTATGAAAACAAAAGAATAAAGAACATGAGAATCATGAAAAAAGTTTTTAAATAAAAACAAATCAAATAAATGAATTCATAAATCAAATGAAAACCCATAAAAATAAACCAATATGAATTTTCGAATAAAAGATAAGAGAGACAACCATATCAAGCTCTTAAGCTTGTTCTAACCCATATAAACATATAGCACCCGATAAACATGATTTGGACATAGATAACCAATAAATCCAGGGGGTTGCTTAAATACAAACCTCTCATGACAAATCAAAACCTATAAAATGAAAACAAAGGAATTGACAAGAAATATTGTTTTCATTTAAAAAAAAATTACAAAACACATTTTTCAAAATCAATAAATAAAAAATAGAAACACTAAAAATCTTAGTTTTAAAAAATCAAACTTGTTTTGGTACCCAATTACTCTTGGTCCCTAAGAGTCTAGGGACATGACCTCTGTCATTAAAGCTTAAAGCTCTAGGGTTATGATCCCTTTTGGGCGCATGTAGTGCACTAGTCCGCTTATAACAATATGTAAGCAAATGACCCTTTCGATTGCAATATATGCTATAAAAAAGACCCATTTGCTTTTGTAGACCATATGGATGTGCAGGAGGAATATTTGCAAACAAAGGTGGTCTTTTAGAAACATTTTACAAATGTGAAACTCTTTTTAAATCAAAACAAAATTTGGCCAAATGACCAAATCTACTACAAAAATCATACTTGAACACATGAGCATGCTTATAATAAACAATAGGTGCATGTGTATGTGTGTGTGATGGTGAAGCTCGATGAGATGCACAAGCATGATTAGGCTTGATGAGTTTTTGTGCATTATAACAAAATCTAGCAATGTGGTCTTCATGACCGTAATTAGTGCATTTGTAGACTTTGTTATACATGTGTACATAGTGTGTGGAAGACTTGGAAGTATTTACACGGGACTTTGCACACAAGTCCATAAGCTTATTATTATTAACAATACATGTTTTAAGGGTTGAATCTAAAGATGATATGCGATCCTTAATATGATTCAACTCATCATTATGAACACAAGTATTGTTATTAGAAGTAGAGCAAATATAGTTGTTAGTAAAAGAGCTAACATTATTTTTCATATTATCTACTTTTAACATGGTATTTTCTTTTTCATGAGTTAAAAGAGCAAAGTTTGAAAGCAAAGAATCATGCCCCGATTTTAATTTATCATTCTTTTCTTTAAGGATCACATTTTTATTAGAAATATTATCAAACTTA